CCAGCAACCCTGGACATGGGCGAAAACACGGATAACGCGGGAGTGAGTTCAAGTGCGGGAGGGGGTACGGTGCTATTGTGGGGGCCTGCAAAGCTGATCGAGGTGGAAGGGAGCCACCGAGCTGGATCCCCTCCTTGTGGCACATGCGAGTCGTACTACATGTACAGTACTTTGGTACTCAGTCTAACGCCGAGTACAGCCGGGGTGCATGGTAGAAGCGAAAATCGTTCCCAGTACCGGAAAAAATAGAATACAGCCAACGAATCGTACCTCATGTGACGAATTTCCACTTGGTTGGAAGTCGGTTTTCGTCTCCGCGCAGGAATCAATTTTATGTCATTGCACACACAGTACAGTAAAGTATACTGATGTGGACATCGATTTGTATTCCTTGAAATAATATGGTTGGACACTTGTTTTTCAACTTGGGACTGACTGAAGTAGTGTGAAACACAGGAGGTTCCAAGCACTTTTGAACATCAAGATTGGGAATAAATAATCTCTGTGGGAAGGTGTAATGTACTGCAGCTTCTCGAAAGCCGAGGACCAGTCTAGAGCGACATCTAGGTGCACATAAGTTGGCGTTAGCAGCGAGGAGGTACAAAAGCTAAATGCAGGTGCCATTCCCACAAGAGATTTTGTTGCCCAACGTATCTGAGGGAGCAAAAGATGAATCCTGAATAAATCAGAAAGCCCCTTCATTGGCATAATTAACAATCGGTAAGAGACTGTAACTTTACACCTTGTGTAATACGAAGTAAGGTCTTAGTCGACACGGAAATAAATTTTTTTTAACTTTAAATTGGTACTCTCAACACACGTTGGATTAACGTTAGTAGATGAAGATGTATTTTTACTTTCAGAAAATGAATTCACATAGAAGAATGCAAAATATGGGTCATTTTCTCATAGCTTCAAATCATTGAGGAGTTTGACAAACTGTCGCCTGGTGTGGATAGCATGAAGAATGTTGGCATAGGACCAGGTGAGGCTTTCTGCAGATGCTTGAGCACCAGTGTTCTTGTCAATCTGTTCATCCATGCGACCCCCATCATTCTTCACATATTCCCACATTCTGTTCATGATTGCATCACCAGCTCCTGATTGTGCCTTGGCAAAATCCAATGCTGAAATCTTGGTGTTTATCTGAGAAAAATAAAATTACTCAGATCAAAGCTTGGGAGGTAAATAGACTATATGCATCAGAGATTCAAAGACTGCAATGCTAATTTTTGTTTGTATGAAATTATTTTCCTACCTGAAGCAGTTTGAGCCATTCCTTGTTTTCTACTGGATCCAAAACATAGTCATTTCCCTTCTGTTGAATTTTCTTCAGAGTTGCTTGACCTCCTAGGTAGAAGAACTCAGCTGTGACTGCAGTCAACAATTGCCAAGGGTTTCCTCCTGCATACTGGTCACCAGGATATCTTCCTATGAGGACTCCAGGAACCCCTGCCTCATTATCAGCCTTTTTGAAGAAATAAATCCATGAACTAAATGAGCTCAATGAAGATTCAAGGTTTTTTTCATGTAACCTGATTGATGGGATATTCTCGGCAGAATTTCTTGGCTAAGAAAGCCACAGTTGATGCTCCCTCAGGAGACTCTGGTGGAAACAGGAACTCTCCAAAGGTTGCAATGGAGTGGATAACTGCTCCATCATATGGTCTGTTCTCTGACTCATAGATGTACCCTTCTGCAGACCTCCAGTGTGCTGCTGCTGTTGTCTATACAGAAAAAAATGCACATGCAGTACATGCTTTGTATACAAGTGGAATATATATTTTTAACTTCTACGCTGACCAATAGCAATTTTACTTTGTTTAAGCAAGAATAAGACAGCTGGAATCAATAAGATCTCATGTTCATATTGCATCAATTTGAAGTTAGGAGCAATAATGATCCAGTGTAATGGACAAAATGCTCCACATCAGGAAAAATAAAATAAATTTTGAGTACAGTACATTGTCAGATCCATGTAATCATTATATGTTATATTCTTGTGGGTATACTTTCCCAAGTGGGGAGCTATTTTTGCTGTGACCCCACAGTAGGTGCACACCAGGGTCACAAGTGGTGCATATGGGATATTCTGTGGTTACAAGTGTGCCCTACTGTGGAGGAAATTTTGCTACCACTCCAGGGTTACACTTGGTGCACAAATGTGAAATAAAAAGAGCATAACACAAATGCACCAGTTTTAACCCTGGTGTAACTTATTTGTTTACAAATGTGACCCTGAGTAATTCTGGTGTGAACACACAATTGGTGCACATTGGGGATATGCATGTGCAACAGAAGAACTTTGGTACACTTCAGGTGCGCCCAGCAGGGTCACTGTGTAGAATTACAAACAAATCCCGAGTGTGCACCAATGTCCCCACTCGGGTTAAAATTACAGTGAATATTTTTCATTCTTTTTTGAAAGAAGTTGGACTAAAATTCAGGAATTTCAATAATTGCATTGAAAGCAAAGGATAAGTTGGAACCAATGTGTTCCACTGGATCTGGAATATTTTCTGTGACAAGATATTTTCAGCAATGCTTACATATATGGCATCCTGCTTGACATTTTAAAAAATGTGCTTGGATGAAAAAATAGGTTATATGTACAGTATATTACAAGTCCTTTTTTAAACATGCTGTACCTTGATTGTTTCTGCCAGAGCCCTGTATGTTGAAGCTTCAGGAGCTCCAAGCGTGTCAGCAAAGTCAGCAGCTACATTGAGGGAATACACATAAGCCATCCTATTGAAGTAGAAATCTGTGCTCCTGACTTCTTCCCACAGGTCACATCCCTCAGACTGCCAGTTAGCCTGGACCCATTCAAGGTCAAACTTCACCAGGTCAAAGATGTGTGCTGGGTCCCCTTGTCCTGCATTCTCCAGAATCATGCCCCACTTTGACAGTGCCATTGCCCTCAAAGCTATTTTCATAAAAGTATGAAATTATCAACATGAGACAACCAAAAAGTTGAAAAAAATAATGAATTAAGCTATTGCAACTCAGTAATTATTCTCGTTTATTCTGAAAAACCTGCTGTGTGTGAATATCCAGTGGTTAATATGTTACTATTGTACTCACCAGGTCCATCAGTTTGAGGTCTGCACCATCCCCCAGTGTAAGGTTCCCCATCAGGGATACTAAACTTGGGTTCAATCCTGACATCTATGCCATTTGGGTCAACTTTGTGCTGAACTTTTTCCACCCACAAGGCATAAGCTCCAACCTCTTCTTGAACAACTGAATAGTCATTTTCATTGATGTCTAGCCATGCCTTGATACTCAATCCAGCATCTCTCATCCAATGCCAGTAATAAGATCCTCCTGGTGTTCCCTGCAATTAGTTTCATGTTTGAATAAACAGCCTCTCTGTATACAAAGAATAGTTTTCATATTTTCCAATTCCACAGTATAAGGGGTATACTTATCACACTGTGTCTATTTGGTTGACCAAATTTTAAAATATATTGTCAGCAGCCTTGTTTAATTAATTGAAAACATGATTTGAATTCAGACTCAGATTAACTGAATAGCTTTATATTCCTGTTTCTTTCATATCTTTTATTATACTGTACTAGATCTGTTTTTATAATTTTAAAACTTATCTCTGCAAAAAGTGACAATAAATTATTTTGGAAAATTATGCAACAGATTGAGATGGAAGTGATGCATTGAGGTATGCAACAAGCACAAAAACGCTGAATTTGTCTGACATGTCAGCCTTTCAATCATTCCATTATGATTTTAAAATTTTTTTCAAAGTTTTAAATCATCATTGAACTACAGTAACTATCCAAAATTTGAGCCAGGCTAATCAGAGATGCACCCAATTTTCCTTCCTCCAATTTTTTGAAAAAGTTGGGCATGCTGGTACTCAAGTATAAAGACCATACAGTAAACTGTAATTGGTTTTATCATTTATACATATGGGAGCTTAATACAATTTTGGCAGGTTTGTTGTAAAGGATTCAAAAGACACCTCATCTGGAGCAGCAACAACAGCTCCAGAGCCCAGAATGTTGAGCTGAGACAAGTAGTTTGTGTACATGATGTCATAAGTGGCATCATCAAAGCCAGGCCCATCAGCAGACCACAGAAATTCAGTGCATGGATCCACAAAACTGGCATCCTTGAAGCACCATGGTGCATTTGAAGGGTTGGGATCAACAGGTTGCCAGCAGCATCCATCAGCCTCACATGACTGCTGATTGGAGCCAACAAAACCACAGTCTATCTTGTCCTCATTGGGAATTGAACACTGCTGGCCTGCCACCAGATGACAAGCACCAGCTGCTGCAAACACAAGAAGCAAGAACATTGTGCACTAAAGAAGACTCAGGGTCACACTGTCCCTGGAAAATGACAGTGGCTTGGTTTATGTATTCATTTTCTGCCTGGGAAACTTCCAGATGAACAGTGAAAGTCCCCTGGACTCAGTTTATTATTCAAAATACACTAGTATTCAGCTTATCTCATCAAAGTATAAGCCAATTGGGCAATCAAGTGGTTTGCTTCCCACCATAAAGTCTCCTGTTGCTTTTAATTGAATCATTGTTACCTGAAGGAAATTTTTTTATCAATTTGTGTGAGGGTGTTTATAACCATTGTATGATAATGAAAAATTTCCCACCTACCTTGCATAATGAATGCAGGAAAACCTTCACTGAACATGCAACTATAAAATTCAAAGCTTGCAATTCCATATGTTTTTTTTGGTTTTTGCAATTTTGTGCTCATAAGAATGCAATATCACAGAAGCTACCCATATTGGAAGGACACTTTTCTATACCCTTGAAAAGCACCAGCAATAAGATATATTTTAAAACACCAGTATGCTTTTCAGGCAAAAGCCAGGACATTCTCTGAAATTCTGGAAAAGTTCTTGCAAAGATGCCCTGGTTTAAATCTGTGTATATATGAACTTGTGAAGAAAAGGGGAATAATGATCCAAATAATTATTATTTTGATATGTTACTTTTTTATTTTTGCCTCCTTTGAACAAATGACTTAAAGTTATAAATTTGGGTCCATGTGTGACATGTTTGCTAGCTACTGTAGGCATTGATCTTGGACAAAATAAGCAACAGCTGAAAACAACTGGGTTTTTTTCAGAATTTAGAATTATAAATTTGTAAAAATTTATGATCAGCCAAAATCTTGAATTGCAAGTATTTTTGCATTTGGTACATCTTATGAAAATTTACAGTGTGCCTATTTAAGCATGTACTTTTTGATCTTGCGGCTATTCTTAGAAGGAAGAAAGGAAGACCATTCAGTAAAAAAATTCCGCATTTCCCAGTTTAATTACATTTTTTTAAAGGGCTGTACACTGGCAAAGATGCTTATCAGCTACCCTGGTTTCTTTTTCATAATCAGCTCAGACTGGGAAAATTCCAGAATGTTCAGCAAGCTGCCCTCAGACCAGAATAACATTTTAAAGCTAGAGATTTATTCAAAAGGAGAAAAGGCAACATGGTGTCAAGGGCAATTTTTCTTGAAAGCATTTTATCCTTTATTTCACTCTTCTTGGTGATTCCCAATGTTCAAACTACCCCTTTACTGCCTGTTGCTTCTGAAGAGAGACAGACTAGCATTCTAGAGGAAATCAAACAGAGGTTGGAAGAGCAAAAGTTGCTGCAGGAAAGGAGACAAGAACAAATCAGAAGCTTACAGAAACAGATAAAATTTCTGGAAGCAGAGATTAGATCTGAAAGTTCTGCTAGCTCTGAAGAAAGGACCAATCAAGACTCAGAAGAATTCCCTGAGCACAGGTTGGATTACTTGGAAGTGATAACCAAGCACCAATGTGAGTAAAATAATGAAAAAAAAATTCTTGTTAAAAATCATTCCAAGTATTTGAACATAATTTTGTGGATATATATGTAGTGCCAACCACTTGTGATCACTTGAAGAGACTGGGACACAAGACTTCTGGTCACTATGAAATAGATCCTGATGGTCTCCATGGATCACATGATCCTGTATTAGTGTACTGTGACTTGGAAAAAGGTGAAGGCTTTTGATGTTCCACCTTTTATGAATAAAATGGGGTTTATATGTCTTATTCTCATGTCTGGACAGGGTTAACAGTGATTGACCATAATCAGGAGCAGCCTGTAATCCACTCATGCAACCATTTTGGCTGCACTTCAGCAAGCATCCCTTATCAGGCACCTCTTGGTCAAATGACATCTCTGATGCAGCTGTCAAGCCATTGCAGCCAGCACCTGAATGTCCCACAAGACAAAGATTCTTCTGGTTATTGGGAAGATCAAGAAGGCACAAAAGAACCATTTTCACCTGCTGAAACTCTGGATGGTAGCACAAGGAAGAGGATACCACTGCACATGCTGCCCATCAATGTCCTTTATGTCAACCACACTTCTGATGGAGTCAACCATTTGAGGGACCACCAAGTTGGACCTTTGATTTGCAGAGGGAAGAGGTCAATAATTGGCAGAGGGCTCAAGTCAGAAGAGAAAAGCAGCAGTTTTGCTGGGCAGACCAACAGCAGCAATCAATCCAAAGAAGCTCCTCTGCCAGAGTATAACAGTTGCCTAAGTCTGTACCAGAATGGAGTCAGAGATCCTGGTTACCATTGGATCAAGACCAAGGGGGGCATGTGAGGACTTGTGCTAAAATTGCAGTAAAATCTTATAGAAAAAAAATTTGAAAAGCCCATAAAAGGAATATCTTAAATATATATACATGCATAATTTAAAAGAATATTTCCAGTCAATATTTTGAAAATGTCATAACATCAAAATATTCATTACAAGAAACTTTTCTGAAGTCCCCACAAGTTTGTTGGAACAAAGTTTTGCTGTATTCCTCATCAATGAACATGCATGATAATCAATGAACATGATGATGAATAATTTGACTTACTTTTTAATTATACTGTATACAGTTTCAGACTAGTCTTCTGTGATATGCGCTTCATCTTGATGGACTCTCCTGAGGGGACATTGTCACAAGTGACTGTTGGACCAAGAGCTGCTACAATGCCAGTGCACTTCCATGCCATCAGACAGCACACTTTCAATTCCATTGAAAAAATGATTCCCTATGACAATTTCTACACACAGGACCCAAATTTTGACCTGAAAGTTGGCTGGTTTCTGGCCCCTGTGGATGGATACTATAGGTTTTATTTTCAAGTAAGTTTCAAAGTACAGTGGCCCCCCGCCTAACAGACCTCCTGTGTAAGGGATTTTTGCCAAAAAGACCAGCTCTGCAAGCAGTTTTTCCTTCCACCCAACAGACAAAATCCGCCAAACAGACTTCTTTTGGTTTAAAATTAGTGTTGAAAATTGAAATTTTTAATGTTTTATGTAATTGAATTCGTGTAAAGGACTTTTCGTTCAACAGACTTGTCCCTTGCACGAATCAAGTCCGTTAGACGGGGGTTGACTGTACTGTAATATTCTTGCCATATGGGAAATTCCCTTTATTGAAACTCTTTTTCTTCATGTGTGACCCTTTTACTGTTCTGCAGACTATCAACATTGGGACAACATTTGCTCATGGTTCAGAGGCATACCTGGTGAGGAACTACAATGCCATCAATGGTGCCATTACCACTACACAGCCTTGGGCAGTTGGAGTAACACAGGCAGTGATGCACTTGAAGGCCAATGACAAGGTCTACATGCGCCACTTCCATGGAGGAATTTTCTCTAATCAACATGCTTTAACTTTCTTTACTGGGTCTTTGCTTGATCCTGTTTGAAGACTTGTTTTCATGACTACAGTACATGCATTGATTTCTCTCATGAAAATATCACCCAAAATGTACAGAATCTGACATGGCTGCTGCCTTGATTAATTTTGCGACCAGAAAAAGTATAATATGCCCTCAAATGCATTTTGAAAGCTTTTCAACTTATCAGAAATGCACAGCAGAATAAGAGCAACTAACCCTGACATTGCTGGAAAAATATATCTGCATACTTCGAAATTCCATGATCCATTATTGTAAATCTATTTTCTTTTGTTGAAATTTGCAGAATTAGCCTTCAAAGAAGCAATGACTGAAAATATGCAATGTTCAAGAGCTTTTGAATAAATCCAACACTGTCCAAAAATCACAAAGCAATGAGAAAAAAATGTCATTTATTCATGTTATTCAATTCATGACAGAAAAAAAATCCCAACTCTACACACTGAAATAGCCCCCCAAATATGAAGACTGTAAACACCGGATCAAATCTTAAATAACTCCTCAGCAAGTTTTTCCTCCCTTTTCTTGACTATAAACAACTCACTGCTGCTGGACACTCATCAGAATAAAGAGACAAAAAATGATGATGAAAATGAATGAATTACATTCTTTTTCTACAAGATGTTGATGTAGTTGTCAATTTTCGCCTTGTGCCTCTGGGCGACGCATTCTGCAATCCAAACAATGTTTCTGCACTCCTGCTCTTTGAGTTTGAGAAATGAGTAGAAGACGCCATAGTGGAATTGTTGCATGTAAGTGTGGACGTGCATTCGGACTTCGGCTTCGAAAAACTTGTCTTCCAGGGCTTTGTCTCCAGGATTCTCACCAGCTCCAGCAAACAGCTTCGCATAGGTGGGATAAAACTCGGCACAGGCCTTCACCTGGTTTCATTGAAATATGATTAAATAATTAATTTTTTAAAATATAAATAAACTACAGTTACAAGTATGGCTGCAATAAAAACCGCGAATGTTTAGCATCTTCATTGACGCCCTCATCCAATAATATACAGTGAGACCCCCACATGCGGAAGCCTCGACTTGGGGACAATTCGACTCAGGGACTTTTTTGTTGCTGTTTAAATCACAAAAAGGCCCAACATACAGACACTGACTTGACATGAGGACAATGCATGATAGAATTGCAAATAAATTTTAGGAAAATTGACTTTTATTAAGCTTAATTGCAAGAAACAGATATTTCCAACCGTTAGATCTATGCACAAAAAAATATTTGGCACTTTTCCCATCACTTTCCCATCCATTCAGCTAATTTAAAAAATTACCTATAGCACAGTGAACAGGACTGCTGCCTTCTCTTTTTGTGACTTGGATGTTATTTTTACAGATGCCAATATTTCAATGAACGGTACAGCAGTATACTATCCAATGCTCCAAATATTCTTTTTGGGTTGAAAATATGTTCACTGGATCAAATTCAAGTGACAAAAATTTTTGTCATGGCATTCTGAAGAATATTTCTTCCATAAAACACCAATTAAAATTATATAATATAAGTCTACGGGAAATCAAGACTCAGCTTAGGGACAAATCAACTTAGGGACACTGATGATGCACCAATTATGTCCACATCTTGGGGTCTCACTGTAATATAATTTTACTGCAAAAATGGAAGACTGTACAGAGTATCAGAGGCATAAGATGAATACAATAAAAAGGAGAATATTCCTAGTTTTGAGGTTATACCGGTTGTACCTTGGCCCTAATCCATTGCCAAATTAGGGTCATATTGCAAAGCAGTAATATTACAAAGCAGTCAAATTGCAAGATGCTTCATGAAATAAAAAACATCAATGCAAAAAATGGGTCAAAGCAGGTCAAATTGTGGGGCAAGAGTCAAATTGCAAGTCCTCCCTGAAAATTTGACCATAGAATTTTGGGAAGGTCAAATCATGGGAGGTCAAATTGCGAGGTACCACCTGTATAATTGAATTTGTTTGCAAATTATTCCCTGGAAATGTGTTCAAACCTGTTCGTAATCTTCAGCACGGGCCAACAAAGCCAGTCCATCAGGGTACAGGTTTCCACAACGAGGATACAACTTGGCTCGGTCTTCTTTGGTCAACTCAGTGTTGAAAGAATTGATGGTGATCATGAAGCATCTGTCAAAATTTGTCATTCATTCAAAAACATGATGGAACAATTCACATTCAAGTCATTCCAGTAAATATACGGGAATTACTTAGATAATCATACACAATTTCTGCTTTCTCCTGGTTGCAAAGGTTAATTTAATAGCTGGTTAAATTTATCTTTACTGCAAATTTCCACTCCTCACTTTTTATCAAATTGCAAAATACAGTTTTAACTACTGTAGTTTTGATCAGTATTATATTAAAACAGGGACCAAAAGTCATCTTCAAATGATATTTTTTATTTTCACAAGAATTTGTGGAGAAAATGAACTGAGAAGAATCCAGTCAAGGCTTTTTGTCCTCTCCAAACTTTTGATTTTGATTAAAAAGCAGTCTACAGAACTCTACAAAGAAACTTCATAGTGTGAAGAATCACTGCTCTCTTTATATTCTTTTTTTAATTTTACCTAATTTTCATATCTGAGTTTGGATCTGGATTCTTGCACTAAATCCTTTTAATTACTGTACTGGTGTAGTGTTTTGAGTGTTCCTTGTGAATTGTGTCATTTCTTGGCCATCAAATTACACAATAAGAAAAACCAGGAACATATAGATTTTCAATGTGTCCCCATGAATATATGTTCTTGGTTGCAAATTGGCTGATTGTCCATGTTTTGTTTTGTTCCAATTTGCCTGTATATAATGATCTTCTATTCTTATGTCCAGCATTTCATATGGATAGAAATCAGCTTAAGAAAGATTTAAAATTACTGAAATTCAATGAAGAGACACTTTCTGAAATCTTAAAGGATCAAGATAAACTGTTGGCCTTTATGATTTCTCATCAAAGATTTTCTCTAAATTGTTTGTTCAACTAAACCTCATACAGAAGCAGGCTGAAGACCTTGTGCTTCAAATAAAATTGTACTGCTATTTTGTCTTCAATATTGGGGGATGGGTGAGTGCATGCATAGGTGTTCCATGTCCAGTTTTATTTTGTGGAGTGTGTTCTCTTTTGTTTTTGTCATTGGTTTGTGCTTTTTTTCCTGCTTTGAAGTGATTGAATGTCTTTTGGGGGAGTTGGGTTGAATGGGGAGGGGGTTTGGATGCAGGAGTCTTGGTTGTGCCTTGTGAGCGCTGAAAAGTGGCAAATAAAGTGTTCTGTTCATTTATTCATTCAGTAGTCATCAAAAAAAACTTTTGTTGCAAAAATTAAGTTCAGAGCAGGTGAAGCAGGTATAAAAAGGAAATGCATTTTGAAAAATAGGAGGCTGGGGTTGAAGGAAGGTTTCCCAGGTTGAAAATTGGAAGTAACACATATTTCAGCAGGTGAAAATATGTCTAAATTGCTATTTGGACAAACCCCAAAAATTTATTTCTCATCAGATAATTGCAACTGCCATTTTTCTCTAAAGATTTGAATTTTGATACCAGACTTTAAAACTACTTCTAATAAATTTATTAAATTTTCTCTGGACCAACAGTTGGGGAACACTGCTATAGAACTTTCCGTCAGTAGGTTGAAAGATTTTTATTTGTGGATTGCTTCACCATTTCACGGGCTGAAATTGCCGGCAAAACAGGTCTTGCAATCTCTGCGACGCACGAGGCCAAACATGAATCAACGGCAGTACTGAAACTACTGACCACGGTTCACCGGTTTCTGCTGCAATTCTGTGCCAGAAGGCGGAAAAAAGCTTGGTTTTATAGTTTAAAACTATGAACGAGTTTTAAGAAGCTCAAGGAGACATGAAGAAACCTCGGCATCAGTCCACATTCTGATGGGTACGGGTTTCCATGGCGGCCTTCGCATTCAAAATATTTCCGCAACTTTTGAATAACGACACTTTTCAAATGGGAACTTTAAATCAAGTACGCGTCAACACAAATAGAACAGGACCTGCGATGGAATTACGAAACTTTAGTACTGTATATAATTTTAGTCGAGACTCGAGAGGCAATCGAAGAATTTCCTTGTGATTTTTCAAATTCAATTTCTTGGTACATTATAAAAATTACACTCGCTTAAACGGTTTTTTTGGTGCAATATTCGGCAAAATTGCAGGAAGTGCGCTAATTGGTTGGAAGTCAAAGGAGGTGCGTGAATGAGGGGAAAAATAAGAAGTGAGCACCACTAGTTGGAATTTTTAATATGCTAATTAATTTTGATAGCTTGGATTTCTGTTCAACTCAGGCAAAAAGTCAATATATGTATACAGTTGAACCTTGCTAATTCAAACCTCACTAAGTCAAATACTACCCAAAGTTGAATTTTATTCAAGTCCCTGTCTGAGTTCCCTTGGAAGCAATGCAGTAAAAACCTCCCAAACTTGAAGGCTTCCCCTCTAAAACCCCCATCATGACTTACATTGTTGAGACCTTTTGGCTATTATTTTATTAATACAGGAAAGAAAAAAAACAATAAAAATGGAATTGCATGTGCTTTGAAAGAATGCAACAAAATAAACTGGGCAAATGAACCCCTGTCTCCAAGTTCAGCATTGGGTCAACTCATTTTAGAAGCAATTCAAGGCCCAGAATATCACCGTATAAAATTTAGTAGAATTCTTCAATGTTCCCACAATAAAAATGATTGATCACATAGTTCAAATGTCTAAATTGAAACATCCCTAAGTCAAATGTTTTTGTTGGTCCCTTGAAAATGGACTTGGAGGGGTCCAAGTGTACTTGGAGATGCATAACTCAAATAAGCATGACTTTCAGGATCAAATCACATAAGCATTAAGCATGATTTGGGCAATATGGAATCATCATTTCCTAAAAATTGATTCCTCTCTTTTTGTCTTATTTTGGAGAACAAACTTTCTATGAAGAGCAATTTTTCTGATGTTTGTACAAAACCACAAATATCACTCCTGGAGTCCTGGTTAAACAATTTTTGTTGACTTTTCAACCCAAATATGTTGCCTGAGGAAACAAATGGCAATAAAACCTAGGTTTGTTATGGAAGGTTTTTTCCAGACATATTGGGGAATTTGTTAATTTGTTGTTCAAGGTCCCAAAAATTTGAATTATGGGAGTCATCTGACTTTAAAATGCATGAGTATTGCATCTGTATCTCCAATGTTTCTGTTGGGTTCAGCTTTTTTGTTGATGCGAATGATCTTGGAATTTATCCTCTCTATTATATGGCAATAGTTACTGAAGTGTTTAAAAATTTCAAGTAAGCTTCCTCCAAAGAGTTGTAAAACATGAAGTCTTGTCATGTAATAAATAATTGGGTTATCCAATTGGGTTATGAACTTATGATTGAATACTTCCATTTAATACAAGGTTTCCAGCAAGCTCTGACTTCTTGCAAAATGGCATGGCATTGAACTTTCAAGTGTTCCACATGGACTTTCAGTTGTAAATCAAAATGCATTCCATGAATAATGTTCCAAATTAGACTAGTTATTGGATCACAAATTTGACTAGTATAAGTACTGTAAATTCATTTTTTGCAAAAACTTGCACTGAGCAATTCAATACTTGCTGGATATAGTGAGGTAATAATGAAAGTACTTTGAGGACGGTTGAGGGAGATTGATTCTCACAATGTGCAGCATTTTTCACAGAATTCTCTTAAACAAAAAATAGATGCTACACATGTTGCTTCTACTTTTTGGTGCCTTTTTTCAGCTACAAAAAGGTCTTCAATGCGCACACAAGCCCTGAATTGTCAAAAATACTCAGCAAGACATTTCAAAATACTGCTCTTTCAAGATTTAAAAAATGCATCGCAGTATACTCAACAGTATCAATCACCTGCAGTACAGTACTTGAAATACACTTTCACAATGCTCACACAACAACAACAACAACAACAACAAAGGAACACTTCTTCATGCTCCTGGGTGAAATATTCGACTGTAAAAGCCATCCTTTTTTCTTGGTTCTTCTTTTTTTCAAAGGAAAGCAGTTTCTGGGGGCACCCATTAAGCTGGTCAACACTGATAAAGTATGGAACATTTTTGGGCCACTGCCAGCAGTCAATAAGTAGATCAATCACTGCTAAAGCCATACATTCACCAAGGATTATTGATGGGGGAGAGCACTGTAGTGTAGTCAGGGGCAGGGCTCAGGGGTCCTTGTTGGGAATGTGTCCACTCATAAAGTTTCGTTATTGCGACATTACAGGGACTCATTATTGGTCTTACACAAAAATTATATGGTATGAAATATGCAGGAATCATACATTTACATCCATATCCTAAAAAATTGACTCAGCATCCATTCCCCAGGCATCAATGACACATAATTATGGTAAACCTTCAAACTTATTTTGAGTTGGTGAACTACTGCATCCATTCCAACCTATAACTAACCAAGATTCCCTGGAGAAAAATAACTAGAAAAATAGCAGTGAACAATTTCAAGTGTTTTCCTGCGCATTATTTGTCCCATGGCAATGGAAAATACAGTGAGACCCCCAGATTTGGACATAATTGGTGCATCAAGAGTGTCCATATGTTGGATTGTCCCCAAGTTTTAATCTTGTTTTCCCATAGACTTACATTATATAATTTTTGATTGGTGTTTTATGGAAGAAATATTCTTCAGAATTTCATGAAAAAAATGTTTGCCACTTGAATTTGATTCAATGAATATCTTTTCAAACCAATAAGAACATTTGGAACATTGAATAGTGTACCTCTGTACAGTTAATTGAAAAGTTGGTATCTGGAAAAATAACATCCATCTCACAAAGAGAGCTAGAAGGAAGTCCCTCTCTGCTATAGGGCATTTTATAAATTAGCTGAATGGATGGGGAAATGATGGGCTAGGTACCAAAGAATTTTTGTTGCATAGATCTTAGGTTGGAAACATCTGTTTCTTGCAATTAAGCCTTACAAAAATTTGTTTTCCTAAAATTTATTTTGGAATTTTATCCTGCAATGTCCCCAGGTTGAGTCAGTGTCCTCATGTTGGGTCTTTTTTTATGATTTTTTGTTAAAAAATGAATGTCCTCATGTCAAATCGTCCCCATGTCAAGGCATCCACATGTGGGGGTCTCACTGTAGTTGCATTTTCTCATGAGGGTAAATTCTGCACATAGAAACCCCGGTAATATAATCAAGCCACTCATCATAGAGGCCCAAAGCCGGTTTCCCAGCAGCAAAGTGGGTTCCATGTCAAAGGAAGTTCCAAACAATGCCCAACCACTTGCCACAGCAGCACCATAAGGGGCTTGACATTAAATTATGCAGACCTCTAAACCAGCACTGGGATACAAAGGGGTTTTTTGATTTTTTTCTTTTATATTGTTGATGGATCCATATTAGAGGGAATTGTGCGCGTGCCCGGGAATAACGAATGACGGAAAAGGTGTTTTTTCATGGCCATGGAACCAGGCCTATAATGGTTCCTCTTTCCATTTTATTTTTATTTTTTGGTTGCCATGGAAGCATTATGTGCTGTGAAATGTCATCATTAAGGATCACAGGAAATGTTGCGTTGACTGATGGTGAGTGAGGCATAATATAAGTCGGAAAAGGCGACATTTTTATTTTTCAAGTATTTAAGTGGAAATTTATTGCGTCAGTTGAGAAAACTTTGAAACCCTTTCTGAATTCCTTCACTGCTTTACAGTATTTGTGCTTCATGGTCTCATTTATTAATTTGAGAGTTCAATCCCCTTTGTCCTTGACTTTGACAAATATTTCGGAAAGATGAAAGAAGTTGAACCATTTTCTAAACTAGTATGGAAAGGTACTAAACCTTTTTGAAGTTCATGACAACAGTGATTCTGAGTGATAAGTGTGTTGTTTTAATGTTTTTTGCTTTTATGAGAATTATTGAGCAGTGACTTCTTGGCTTTCTTCTTTCCTGTTTTGAACGTGTACATAGCTCAGGTTTGATTCAGTTCAAGAATGACTGTGTTTTTAAGTTTTTTCCTACTTTTCCTGTTACATTTTTGAACTAAAACCACATTAACAATTTTTAACATGTAAACCTAAGGGAAAATTGAACTTGCCTAACAGACTTTTCACCTTAAGGCCTGATCTGTTGCACCAATCAAGTCCATTAGGCGGGGGGCCCCTCATTGTTTCTATGGGAATCAAGACAGGGACTTTTAAAAAAATTGAGTTCGGCGGAGGTATTTGACTTAGGGAGGTTTGACTTAGCCAGGTTCACCCGTATTTATATTCTTCTCCTTGCTTGAAAAGTCAAGGATTTTATGGGAAAAGTTTCATATAAGTTAATATGACTTCAACATGGTTTTAAGCCTATGGCCAAGTCGGAGAGAGGAAAAATCACGGCTGTCAGCAGTTTTGGAACAATCACAAGATATATACTGTACTGAACAGACTGAGACGGTGCAGTGTTGCCAGATGGCTTTGGTACACTTGGTTTCAACCTCTTGTTTCATTATTTTTAAAGTACTGTTTGCAAAATTAAGCTGGCGTGTGAAGAGGAAGAAATACGCATAGCAACGGCCCATTCAGGTACTGAAGAATGATGCTTCATCCGGGTTTTTGGTTTCTAAAAATTAACCTCAGGAGAATAAGTTTTGTATAGTTTGACTTCCGGCAGCTTGTCAGTTTTTTGAGTCAGAGTATCTAAATAATCTGGTTGATTCAAGTCTGCGTTATTCGACCCTTCAAAGATAAATTTGTCAGACAAAAAATAAATAAACCCGTCTTTGGACCTATGATTCACTCGTTTTTGTTCATTTAATTCAATATTTGTAATCTTGACTCATTCGTCGTTTGCAGAGAAATTATTTTTGTATCCATTTTTCCAAGAGATCAATCAACGCATAATTGAACATTTTATTCATCGGAGCAAGCAGAAGATGCTGTGATATTGATACACCGATATTTTTTTGAAAATGAAGAACGATTTCAATGGATTACGAATATAAAAAAAATTCCAAATGTTTTTCGATTAACAAAACACTCTCAATAATAAGAAATCTCGCATTTATCATTGTTTTAATGCGTTATGTTCAAATCGCTTTCAGGGATCACAGAAAAAAATTAAATTCACTTTAGATTTGTCCTATTTCAATTTTTGTTGAATCACTCCTGTCAAGTATAGCAAGAAAACAATAGAGTTTGGATAGCTTTGTTTGAACATGCTTCATGAGAAAGAAAAAAAAACATTTTTCAAAACCAGTTAGTTCTGAATAAGACACAATGTATCTTTTCTGAGCCACTTATTTTTGTGTATACTGTGTGGGTCAGACATCATTAAGGGAAAAAGGGAAACAAGGAAATCGTATCTGACCTCGCCCATCTCTGTAACCTGGCTTTTTTTATTCTTTGGCACTGCCTAAAAACTGACCTTGGCCTGGATCTTGGTCCCAGTGGAAACAGGAAACAAATCTTCCTCCGCAGACCCTGGGTCGAACCACTTTCCAGACATGGAGCACACTCAATATTTGCAATCCAGCAATACCAAGGGGGAGAAATGTATCATGCCATTGATTTTCCAAAGAACAAGACTTTTCCTCATTTTTTTTCTGGACTGTACCATATATAACTTCCGAGGTACTGGTGGTAACTTGCAATTTTACCTCCAGCAATTTGACCATTGCACAATTTGACAATTGAATTTGATGCCAGGTTGGCTTGCAATTCAAAATTTACTCCACAATTTGACCTGCTTTGGCCACACTTTTTTTTAGTTTTTTTCACTATTTTTTTTTTTAATTCCAGGAAGTGTCTTGCAATTTGACTGCTTTGCAATTCAACCCTACTTTGGCAATGGATCAGGGTCAAATTGCAAGGTACCACCTGTATGACCTTTTTTGGTCACCCCCTCTGTTTGGCATACAACCAGGCATGGCTGAAAAATGTGCTAATTCATGGGTTTTTGTTGCCTCCTCAACTTTCCAAATGCCATATTCACTCAAGTACCACATTACAGTTTTTCAATGCCAACATGAGGAAAATGAGTGCATGTGTGTGTGTGTGTCAGACTGATGAACAGCAATAGACAATGTTTCAAAATTGTAGAATTTTACGTACATGTCATATTCTACTTGATTCTAACATGAACTTTTGGCCAACTATTCAAAAAATTCAATTTAAGCAATTAAATTCAGATTATTCTGAAGTAAACATTTATATTCTGCTCTGTTCCATTTCCAAGATTTTAAATTTTTCCATCACTAAAAATGGAGATGAGTGAATCTGAAATGTACAGATGATTTTATCTGAGTAATGTTTCCTTCATCTGCATCACTCAAATAAATGGTATGACCGATTAAGACTTGAGGTACAGTCCAGACAAAAGACATGGTTTAAAAATGTGGTTCAATGGCAGAATCCAAATTTTTTTTCTCTCACTTTTTCAAAATAAAAAAAAATCACTGGTTGATTTACGTCACTCCCACTTCCACTCATCGCGACATTACGTTCTTAGCATTGTCGATTTACTTATTCCGCGTTTTCGAAATTGAAGGCGAAGGTTATTCTAGGACCCTGAGGTTTTAGAAGAAGAGGGGAAAAAATTCCCGACTCTGTCAAAGACACGACACGACCGTGAAGTGTGAAGTGCTGGAAAAAACGTCCAGGAGGTGACAGTGACGACGAGGAACCGAGGCGTTATCCGCATAACGTACGCACGTGGGCAGAGGAAATCGCTGCGGTTCCCAGTATACTACACATCTTGGGACGCAATTTTCTTCTTTTTTATTGAACCAGAAAATAAAATTGGCAGGTCGAGAATGCGACATTCTTACGAATATTTTTTTTTAATATTTTTGAAGGTATGTGCTTCTATCATTAAAAAAAACTTTGAAAAACATTTCTGAGTTCTTGAAGGAAAAAGAGTGTGTAAATGCAGATTGTTTTATTGAAGTTTCCTGTATCAATGGCTTGCAAATGCTGGAGACCCAGAATGTATGCTACAAGTTTTTGTGCACAAAATTTTTAATTAAAAGTATACATGAAAGAACAAGGGCAAAGATAGCAATTCTCACAAATAATCTTTTATATATTTGAATTTTGGCGCAAACATAAAAAACCTATTTTGGGCAGAGGACAATGGCAGCATAACTAGATGCTACCATTGTCTTGATTACTTTCTTGCAACAAGATTTTGATGCATGCCTGTGGACACTCTAACTCTGTATGAAGAATCACAGCATGCAAAAATTCATTTTACAGATAATTAGGTTACAGAGATATGGATTATGAGACCCATTTGGACCAAACACAATTGTGATTTAGAGAAAGTTGTTGTGGAAAAAATTGTTGTAGAGAGGACCTAGGGCCTACTTAAATACAGAGTCTTTTTGTAGTCAACCCCTACAAAATTAGATCCCCCAATATAAGAGACCCTCTTTGGCAACTGCCCATTCCTTTTGGAAAACAAATCTTTCCTAATGATCAAAGCATTGAAATGCCATCAAAATTCTAATAACATCTCTGCTGAAGTCATTGAGAACTCAAATGTGCCACTGCCAATAATTAATACCAATAATACATTTCATCCTCAACAGCCTGCCCCAGCACAATTCAAAAGTTTCTGTGAGAGGTTTCTATATTCAAAAAAACACACAAGCACAATGATGAAATGATTCACTTCTTTGGAACAATAGTTTGGGACAATTTACCCATCCCACGGTAATTTTTATTGTTTTCTAGAGGATAAGAATTGTATATCCCTTAATACGCCCAATTTTGATATCATTTTAGCTTTTTTGATAAACAACTAACCCCATTAAACTGCCCAAAATTTCACCATAAACATTTTGGTGGCTTATCCAGCTTATACTCTGAATCTTCCCAAGTAAGTTTCTTTGCATCATTCTACCATGACCCACGTCAGGTTAATAATACCTACGCAGCATGCCAAGAGATTATTCCGCAGTATTATAACTCAGACCCAGGGTTCTTCTTCTTCCCCTCCTGCCTGTTTCCTTCTGTGCATAAGCATCCTGGGATGATTCAAGCGGAGGCGTTTAAACAAACTTGTCACTCTGCTGTATGTGTGCCTGTTCGTGCCTTCTTCTTTTTTCGAAATTTTACCAGCCTCAGTTTTCCAGACAGTTTGTTTTTCCCTGGAAGAACAGGCAAACAATCCTGACGTCAGACACCATCTGCTGGGTCTCATCACAGGGTATAAGGGAGGGGACTGACTAAGGCTGTGTGTCTCATGTGTTGGTTTACAACTTCACAGTGTAACACACTCTTTTCTGCTCACACATGGGGGGCAATCACTGCTCCCCAACCCATGCACCTTTTTGCTGGGGGGGGGGGGGATATTCTCCAGCCTAAAAGCTTATTCAAAGTTAAAATGATGTCAGTTATGTTCAGGATACATTTTGGAAAGACTATTAATGTTGGTTGAAATTACAGTGAGACCCTGAGATGCGGACACAATTGGTGCATCAAGAGTGTCCCCAAGTTGAAATGTCCCTAAGTTGAGTCTTGTTTTCACATAGAGTTACATTTTATAATTTTTAATTGGTGTTTTGTAAAAGAAATATTTTTCAGAATTCCCTGAAAAAATTGTTTGCCGCTTGAATTTGAATTAGTGAATACATTTTCAACTCAATAAGAACATTTGGAGCATTGAATAGTGTATCTNGTTTGCCGCTTGAATTTGAATTAGTGAATACATTTTCAACTCAATAAGAACATTTGGAGCATTGAATAGTGTATCTCTGTACTGTACACTGTAATTTTGGCATCTACAAAAATAACATTCAAGTGAAAAAAGTAGAAGTCCCTCTATGCTGGAGGTAATTTTTTTTAAATTAGCTAAATGGAGGATAATTTGGTGAGAGAAATGCCCAAGGACTTTTCTTACATCAATTTCAGGGTTGGAAATATATGTTTCTTGTCATTAGGCCAGATATGTATTTGCTATTTAATCACAAAATGTCCCTATGTTGAGTTAGTGTCCTCATGTTGGGCCATTTTTATTAATTTTTGTTGTTGGAAAAATAAGTGTCCCTATGTCAAATTGTCCGCAGGTCAAGGCATCTGCATGTGGGGGTCTCACTGTATTTGATGAAAAGTAGGCTTTTCTCCTGATAACACTGCTGACAAATTTCCACCTGATTGAATAATTAGTTCAATTTTTTCATTATGAGAAACCATTTTCCAAGCCCACCTTCCTAACTTTTTAAAGGCATTCCACTATATACATGTTTCATTGGTTCTCATTTACAAAATGCATGAAATTAATAAATACCAGCCATTACATTTTTCAAGCAAAAGCGTTTTGAGTCTGCAAGACTTTTATGAAATGTTGCTGCAGCAGTCTATGCAGACAATATTTTTCAGAAATTTGCCTGTGAGCAAAACATTTATACAAATTTGCTAGTCTCTGCCTCAAAAAGGTTCAGGAACACTGCCTCACCTTTTCTCTTTTTCCTCAGTACACTTTTTTAATCTGAGAAAATTCAAATAAAGAGTTCTGTTATTGTTATTAAATGACAAGGGCAAAGGATGGGGGTGAAAATATGGGGGCATAATTGAAGACAGGCAGGCATAACCGGGGGGTTTGTATTGATCCAACAAAGCTACAAGTAACAATTCTGAACATGTCTCAGGGTCATGAGCTGAGGCCACCAAGATAAAAACTAAAGGTAAGAATGCAAATTCAGGGAGAGTTTTGATGGATTTGGTTAACCATTAAATGTGTCATGTTCCCAGCATTGAACCAAATAGCAGTAAAAAGTCCAATAAACTTTATGTACTCATGGGAGAAATTGAATCACCTTTTCAGAATATTATTTTGTCTACGTTCTAGGATTAAATACTTTGTATCAATTTATTTTTAAACCTAGGGAAACAAGTTCAACCTTTAATTGATCTATGCAGTACATTTGAAAATACTGGACAACTGCTGAGGAAAAAAAAATTTTTAATCCACAATAAAACAGCTAGGCACTCAGATGAGATGACTTGAGTGTTTTGATGGAAAATAATCCTCATTTATTTAAAAATTGAAAATAAAAGGATATAATGTCCAAGAGTACCATATATAGAACAGACATTTCATAAGCACTTTGGAATCATTCATTTAGTTATAATCCATGCAGTACATTTGGAAGTACTGGACACCTCTTCAACAAAGATGTAGAGTATATTTTGTAGCAAAGATGAATTGAATTCCAAGAAAAAGGAGCTAGAATGTATTGACCATAGATTGTTATAATAAAAAGTCATCTCTTCTTTGAAAATTGTGAGCAGAAATATATGTTCAGACACAACATTTCATACACACTTTTGAATCAGGCATGTGATGAATCCATGCAATAAAAATGGAAATGCTTCTCAACTGCTGACTAATAAAGATATATTTTTAAAATTGCAGGAATGAAAAATATGGCCAACATGAGTTTAATGCCCTAGATATGACATTTCATTTACACACCTTTGAATCCTGCATTCACCAAATCCAAGCAATATAGTATATTTCAAAATACCATGCCTCACATTTGATCAATAAACATTTGTTTTCAAATTGAAGAGAAAAAAGGGAGTTATCAGATGAGTTAATTTGAGTGAAGCCTCATACACTTGAATGAAGGAGGCATCAGGCGGTAATCCGTGGAGCATACACTGAAGCATATATATATATACAAGGAGCAGCAATCAGAGTCAGAGACCAGCCATGCCATGACATTAAACCACACATGGTATCATCTCCAGTATGTACTGAGATAACAAAACAAAAGAAGAATGCTCTTCATTATCTGGAACCCTGGAGATATTGGATGGGGATGCTGGGTACATCTGGGCTCCCATTGTTATTTGCATTATTCCAAGCATGTACGAGGACAACATATTGCGCTGTTTATATTTTTTCCCATTTCCAGGATTATGGCGTAATATTTCTTCAGTATTACCGCATTTACTCACTCTGGAAGTATCCCCTGGATCATTTTTCCCTTCAAAATCGGAACCAAGAATTTGAGGTGTTCATGTACTGCAGTACAATAAAAAACTAGTTCTGACATTTTTAAAAATTTTGTTGAGCATGCTGCTTGAAATCCAGATCGCATTACAGATAATAAATATAAAAAAACGCAATTTCAACCGCATTTGCTTCTGTTTCACTGTTTTTTTCAAGCACAAAATGGGCCCTTGAATGAGGAACCTACCCACCCCCATTTTTTGTTAAGAATGTTTGGGTGAAAACAAAATTTTAAAATTAGAACAGCTTCCATCATCCGAGTGTGCATATTCAACTGAAAAGAGTAATTTGATATTGCATTCACTTTGTTTCTTTTTTGTACAATATACTGTATCTTTTATGTGATAAAATGTTAATGCACCCAAAGTTTACAGGAGAGGTTTGTTCATGAGTAGGCCAAATACCCAAACTTTTTTTCCAAATTTCTGGTGAGAAAAGTGTGAGTATAGGAAAGCTACTAATTGAGATATTAGGAGGGATTTAAAAAAATTGATTATTTTAATTCATAAAATAATTATCTGCAGAGGAAACAAATCAGTACAATTTTTTTCTGATAACTGGGGTGGGCATCATTCGCAAGGGAGTATAATATACTCCAGTAAATGGGATAAATGTTGCAGAAATAAATTCATTCATGCATTCAGGAATTTGGCTTCTCAAAGTCACTGTTTTCCCCAGAAGTTTGTGCACCAGTGAGATAAGAATCTCAAGTCAAGGTTTTCCAGATTCTTATCACCCAAGAAAACGTTTGGCTTGGAAAACTGAAAATATCTCAACATTTAGGCATAGATCAATTTATGATATAATCAAATAAAGTTAGAAAACATCTTGAGCTTGAATTTACAAACTCGCAGATTTTTGTAGGTTTGAAATTGGCAGAGTTAGGCTCTCTGGAAATTTTCACATTGTGAGTTGTCCCAAATGTGATGCATAACTGTTGAAACTAATTGATGATTATTGGAATGCTTTGAAGTCTATCATTCCTTTGTGAATTGCTGGTAAATCTCACCATTTTTTCTTAAGGGTTAAAGCCACAAAAGCAAAATTTTACTCATGAATCAATGACACATTGCTGATGAGAAATCTATGATAAGTCTCCTGAATTTCCCATTTTCACAATTTCAATTAAGATGGAATTTTGAAGCGTCAGACTTTTGTCGTAATAGCATATTCTGTTGATAATGTTTGATTCATGTGCTGGCACTTGAGCTTGATTAACTTTGAGCTCGATGTTGTGAAGCAGCACGCAGAATAAAATGTCTGAAAATACTATCCTGACATGCGCTAAATTGCATGCGAAAATTCACGAGCCAACACTTTCAGGGTTTCCAATTTCCAAAAGCTCAATAAAGGGATCTTCTTCGAAAGATGTATAGAATTTCATGATGAGGCATCAAAACCGAAAAAAAACCATCAGCTGATGAATATTGGCAAGGTTTCAACACAAATAAGCTGAAACCTCAGAAGGTTCACATTTATTTTCCCTTTATTTAGTATTTTTTCACCACATCTGTTCCAAGACCATACAAATAAAATGAAATAAAACAAGAATCGCCAATTTTCCTTTAGATGGATTCCTGGATAAAATTTTATGGAATGTGTTTGATTTGAATTTTTCATTTTTTTATCTCTAATTTCATCATTTTAATCTTTAATTTCTATCAGTACTTCCAGTAGGAAGAGAAAATGTATGCGGAAAATGGTTCATTCCCCACAATAATGTTCACTGTAACCGCATTGTTCCTATATTTTGACGTTGGCAACTCTGGACTTCTACGCAATACCTGCCAAAAATATTCCTCGCAGGGATGAAAAGTAATTCCGTGGCCCTCTTTTCTCATGCCAGGCCCGTGACCAGAATCAAGAATATAAGACCATGTCAATATACAGAAGATCATCTTTTTTTCCCCTTATTTTTTTTTGGTCAAGTAGGAAGAATAAAATATACGTGGGCAGAGAATGCGGAGGATCCTTTCAGTACCAGGAGATAATCAGAATGAGCGGGTCCCTTGATGAAAATCCCTCTGGCGTGATTCTGGCTCAGCTGAGTTTCCAGGAAACTTCTTTTTGGCTGATTTTATATGTTTCTTTTTTTGAAATTTCTCACAAGCAATTTCTTATAGAATGAAGATTACCACCAGGGTGGGCCTGGGTTCAACATGGGTGGGGCTGAAGTAACGCACCAGGGATTTTGTCTAATGTGTCCTATAAATAACCATTTTATTGAACCAAAAAGACACAATTGCAATTTTTTGAAAATTGCTTCTTATAGAAACAAGAATCATGTTCATGATTCATTAGCACAAATTTTGTGCATGATTACAGCAGGTATAAATACTGTCAAATCATGCACTATGCTTATATGATTCAATGAAATCAGTCATGGGTGCTGAAAATTAATGTTCAGAATAGTATTACCGTATTTACTCGAGTACAACGCTCAACCTTTTTCTCAAATTTCAAAAGAAATATAGGGGTGCGCGTCATAAGCAGGTACACATTTTTCAAGAAGTTTTAGGGAGTTAGGTGTGAATTATACTTGATCATGATGGAGAAATTAGGAAGAAATGAACCAAGAAAATTGTTTTGTACTGAAAATGTTGAAAATTGATCAGATTTTTGTTCAATTCATGTATAAAGTCAATTTTTTTGTTTCTATTTTCCAAATTTTGTGGTTGTAGATTCACTCGAAATTGGGGTGCGCGTCTTACTTGGGGATAAGATTTTAGCAAAATTTCCAGCTGAAAAACCCCTGTGCGCCCCTTACTCAAGGGCGCGTGGTACTTGAGTAAATACAGTATATTTAAATATTTTATTTTGTTTTATATCTTGCTGCGATCAAGAGCCTTTCCAAATACTGTATTTTCAGATTTGTGTCAGAAATAGCATAGAAAGTTGGGCTGAGCCAACTTTAACCAATTTTTGAGTTGTTTTTAAAGGACAAGCAACAATTGCTCTTTTCATTATGCTGCAATTCTTGTCAATTGAGCCCCAGTTATTTATACCCTAATCATGGGAAATAACCTTCATAATTTTATCTGTTTCAACTGAAAACCACAAGAAAATGTCTTTGAACATCTTTTCATTAACCCTTGGATGGCAAGGCCAGGATTTATCTGCAAAATGCTGTGCTAGAGTAGGGACTTGAGGAAATATGGATTTAGATTTTTATACTTTTTGAAGAAACAATTCTACCTCCATGGTTGATTTCTTTTATTCAATCTGTCATATTGTAGGAGGAGGTAAATGTGTCCCACAGCAATTCAACTGTCAAATTTTCAGACCAGCTCAACACAGTCAAGAGTTGCATCAAGTTGGAAATATTTGTAACTCACCAATTTTTTGTTTTGGAGATCATTCTTGGACACTTTGATGTGCTTCTGTTTGGAAGAGGATCCAAGATTGGGTTTTTTGGCCTTCAAACATGTCTGCACTGGATGGAAGTTGACTGGTGAAGATTCAGGTAGGGTTTCCAAGGTTCTTCCAGCACTTGTTGATTTTCTCAGATGGGCAATGTTTTTTGGAAATTCTGTAGAAGGGAGAATAAGTACATTCATTTTTTATTCAAACTTCAATGCATTTCTGGCAACAGTAAATGTATGATTCTCACAGTATATTGAGAGCCATACTAGTCATTGGCTGTAGATTCAAGCAAAAGGTTTACATGCATCTCTGGATTCTATTCATTCATTTTTGAGCTTTCAAAATTGAACAAAACAAGATGTTCCACAAATTGAATTTTCATTATTCTAGTACTGTTGATAACCCTGGGTGTATTTGTTTCATCATGCTGAATGCTAATAAATCTACTTCACACAATTTATGTGAAAATTTCGATTCTGATTGCCTTGACCTCAGCTATATTTTACAGTCCCCCTTCACAAACTATAAAATGACAAATTCATTCCTATGCTTGATTTTTGAATTTTCAGCCAATCAAAAGAAGCCATAAATCAGCTGAATTTGACATGATCTTCTCAGTATTATTTTCGCCCCTTTTTTTCCTAATGGAGCACCAAAAATATCAAGAAATTAGTGCATCAAATTTAAATTAAAAACTTTCATTGAGTATATTAACACCATGCAAATATTTTTAATTGAATATTGCAGTAAAATCTCAGTATGTTAAACATTGAGGTCCGAAATATTTCTTATGATAAATTTATTTCAATGAGATACGACGATGTTTTTTTATACAGAAGGGATGAAAGATTTCATTTCATATTTGGCAAGATTTTTTGTAAAAGGTTTAATTTTTAGAGCCTGTTAAGATCAACGGCAGATGAATATTAAAATTCAGGCAGCAACTTTTCTTTGGTTGCTTACGGATAAAATGAAATGTGTGATGAAGGCTGTTCTTTTTGAATTGTTGTTTTGTGTAAAGTATATTATTTCGAGCTTTCTTTTAAAAATATGGATAAATTGTGTCTTTAAATTGAAGAACAGCGTGCATTATAACGCGTTATAATGGCTGATATATGGTGAGGATAATACGGTATGCATATTACTTCCGAAAATGTTCCTAATGTATTCATCTCATCATTTGCAACTGACACATCATCAATCAGCGGAGGAAAATGTGCTGAATATTTCGCATATTCGATGAAAGCATGCGCTCCTTCAGCACGAATTCCAGTGCGCCAATTTCAACAATTATTATATCCAGTCTTCAGGAATGCCTACTCGGAATTTTATTGCATATAGACGCAATAAAATTCCAAAGCACAGAATGACACAGAAGAGCAAATAGCTACAACATGATGCATTGTTAAGGTATCGATAAATAAGTACTGCACAGCAGTACACCACAGTACTTGTTTCCCCGATTTCCCGGATGTTGATCCTGGAATTTTGCAAATGTATTTTTTTTTACAACTATACTCCATCCAATTTTACAGCAGTTTTTGCTTTTGTATTGATCCACATTGTAGAAAGACATGGTAAAAATTTGAAGAAGAATTTCTCCCTCCAAATTTCAGGGAGAAATTTTGGAACTTAATTTCTCCATTCAAAATTTGAGAAGAAAATTTTCTTCTGAAAAAAATATGATGCATAAACAAGCAAACACAAAATAGTTTCAAATTATGAACGTTCATTTTGTTATCCTACAAACTACTTGACACTTTGTTTTGAGTTTCTTTTACAGTTTTGTCTTCTCTCTAAAAAAAATGTGGGAACAAGACTTTGCCACAAATTTGTTCTCTTCCTGTTTTGGTTTGACAACTTTTGCGCTATCCTTTATTCATGGGCCTGACACATTTCTTTGCAACTGCACATTACTGTTCCTTTTTCCTGCTGACAGTAACAGATGGTAATTACTGTTTCCTGAGTTAAATTTCTTCATTTTCTATTATATTTTGCATTGGTTCCTGAGATCACAGCATCCTGGCCTTGAGACCTGGATACGCATTCCTAGCTCCAAAACTATTTCATGAACTAAATATCCAAAAGCATATATACTTCTGCTTTCTTATCTTTTCCTCAGAATCTTCCAGAGAGAATTGAGTTAGAGACTCTTGCAATAATTCTCAAGAAGACTTGCAATATTTTAGCAAGACTTCTTCAACTCCCTAAAAACTATTACTTGACTGTGTTATATGATTCAAATACAGTATGTGTATTTGTTTGTGATTGACTACCAAAGAATATACATGTATATATATGTAGTGTATATTTCTGTATATCCAGTGTTTGATATTATTTTTATGCAACCAAATATTTTATTCACAACCAGTTAAGACAACAAGTTTTTAGAATCTTCTCAACAATTGTGTTTTGTTGACCTTCTGATGCTCATCAGGGACTTTTGAACAAAATTCCCATTGTCAAGGATTTCTTCACGTGCATCATGATATAAAAGACGAAAGAGGGAGATGGAGAGAGTTCAAAAGAAATGAAAATGAAATTCCGCAAACCTTTGCTGGAACGCGTTCGAGGCTCAAAGGCGACGTTGTTGTTGTTGTTGCTACTATTATTATTGACGTGACTTTGCTGCACCGTGTTGCAGTTGGGGTCGTCGACGGTCGGAAGGTCATCCGTCGACGTCGACGTCGATGAAGGGAACACGGAAGAGTCGTCATTGTCGACGACGTGACGAGGCTTCCGGAAATTCGCCGGCAGGTCGCCGCAGCCGCGCCGGAAGTTGGCCGGCAGCGACGTCGTCGTTTCCGGCTTCATCCAGCACTGACTTTCCTCTGCGCTCTTCCGATTTGATTTCACCTTTTTTTTCAACCAGTGTTTTTCTCTCTCTATATATATTTAAAAGAAGAGGAAGATGAGAAAGAAAGAATCAGAGCAAAGTTCAATCGATTCGTGTTTGTTTTTTACAGAGGAAATTCTTAAGATAATAGAGGACATCCAGATTATTTCGATCATCATCCGGAATATTTTCATTACAGTGGAATCTCTTCAGCGAATGTCTTTTTTATAACAAATTATTGATTACAAAGAAGTTGTTTTTCACATCCCTCTGTCACAAGCTCGGCAAAAGCATAAATATTATTAAAATCGCTTCATAACGAATTTTTCGTTGCATAATAAGGAAGTTTATTTTTCAGTTCCCAACAACGTTTCGTTGCCATGAGACTTTACTGTGCATGATTTTATATTTTTAACAAGGGTTTTTATAAATTTAGCGGAGAATAAAGAATGAAAGAGAATATAAGCAGTTGATTCGATTCAAATTTTTTCTTATGGATAGGAAACATGCTGCTGGAACTTCCAAATTATTTGGATTGGTCGGAATATTTTTATTAGAGCAGCATCTCATAACATGCTTCTCGTTATAACGACTTATTTTTACAACAACGTTTTTTTACGCCCTTTTCCGAAAGCGATAATATTATTCAAATCATCTAATAACGAATTTTTGTGAGAACCTTTTTTTTCATTCCCAACAGCTTTGTTGTAATGAGATTTCACTGAGTATGGTTTTATATTTTGAACGATAATTTTTCTAAACTTAGCAGAGAAAGATCTAAAATTAGAGAGAAATTTAGTTCATTCGATTCGAAATTTTTCGTACGAAGAGAAAATATAAGGACTTCCAGATTATTTGGATTATTCTGAATATTTTAATTACAGTGACATCTCATTACAGCGAATGTCGTTATAATGAATTAAATTACAATTTTCCGGTTTTTTTATAAGGAGGTTTCACTGGGTTTGATTTTAAACTTTGAACAATATGATTATTTTAAATTTGGCCAAGAAAAAAAAGCGAAAGAACCATACGTCAACTATTTCATGTATTCAAATGTCGGAAGTTTTACAATTGCGGAATTACTGAAAATAAGTATATGGACTTTCGAATTTACAGTATTTGGATCATTCGTATCTTTCAAAATAACTGTCCTCTTCAAGCAGTTTTTATTTTGGAAGTTTCCTGAGAAAAGGGCCAGAGAGAAAGAAAATAAGATAAGGGAGGATAAACAGGAAGAGTTTCTTTATTTTATTGATCCGGATATGGGTTCTCGGTGCGGAAGTATTTTAGGGACTTCCGGGCTCTTGGTATTATCCGTTCTCTCTTTTCCGGATCATCTTTTTTTCAGCCAGATTTATTCCATGTTTAGGAGAGATAAAAACAGGGAAAAGTCCATTTAATGCGCCCCAATGGTTTTCCGGTGGAATTTTTATTTTGTCTTTTTTTCAACGAAAAATTATGAATCGAAAACGGAATTCCATCGGAAATCTCGACATTGATCAGTGTTTCAATTTAGCGATGTATATAGATCTGAAATTTCCGATTTCTTATTGGCTACGCGATATTGCATCAATAATTGAATCAGTTTCACTGTGTGATATGTTAAAATATACGTATTCAGATAGGAATAATTTCAATGCTAGGCATTTATGACTGATGAAGAATTTGCGGTTACTTTTTTTCTTCGAACATACTCTTGTGCAGAAACCGTCGTTCAGATTTGTATTGCCTGCTGTGTTTCAGAGGAAGTTTTGAAGAAATTTCAGAGTTGATTTTTGTACAAAATAATTTTTGGATTACGTTCTATTCAATCATTGTTTTCTAAATGATTTATTTTAAGAATAAAACATATTACAAGTGAGACCTGTCATTCAAAAATTCAAGAAACACAGAAGACTCAAATGTATAAGACGTTAAATCTTTTACTGAAAAAGCATTGATATGTAACTTTTTATGATATAAATGCTGGATTTAAATTGGTTCATTTCGTTTTGCAGTGATGAAACTGAATCTGATGTTGTGACTCTTGTGAGTAAGAGAATAATTAAAAATCCTTTAGAGAAACGGTTCATTAGGCAGTAGCGATTCAAGTACTCTTTACTTCATTTTACTTTCTTTTTTGATGCATTTAGAGAGTTAAAATTTGAAAATTTTCAAAAACGATGCGGATATTGCTTCATGTAAAAGGAAAATAAACTGAGTAATTTTGACAGTATATAATGATGCAGTGTTGAACACATTTTTGAAAAGTTAAACAACTGAATTTCTGAGCAATTAAGGAAAATTTCATAATTTTTCTTAAAATAGTATGCTTGAATATGGAATGAATCAAAAAATAAAATAAACTGAGACCTTCCAACTCATGATCCAATTCAAATCAAAAGTTTCAAAATTTAGCCAAATCAATTTATAACCGGTAATTGAGGAATACTTTATCACTTTTTGAAAATTATGCCTGAATATTGCAAAAATAAAAAACCTTGACTGAGGCCTTATGATCAATGTTCCAATGTTCAAAAAGGTTTTGGACATGGGATCAATTGAATTTCCAAACAGTTCTAGAGGGAAACTACAACACTTTTTCTTAATAATATCTGAATATATTGTGTAGTCATATAAGAACCTATATAAGAAGAAATTTGGATGAGTGGGTGCATGCATACATGTTGGATGTCTAGTTTTATTTTGCAGAGTGTTGCTCTATTTTGTTTTTGAGGATCTTTCATTTTGTAAATAAAATGTAGTTTTTTAAAAACAAGTGTTAAAAATTAAACATAGCAGTGTTGCTCAATTGTTTTGCCTTGTGAACGCTGAAAAGCGGCAAATAAAGTGTTCTGTTCATTCATTCATAAGAACCTGACCACAATGTAAACAACACTTTGGAGTATTCCCTTCCTAGTTCACGTTCCATTCTGCATCAATACACTTGCTCTGCAGCCACGCCTTCAAATGAATCAACCATTATTGAGAAGTTCCTTTCTAAATCATTCTCTTATCATTTGTTTGTTGATCAAAAAATTATGTTGACACCAATCCAAGTCAGTTGCCATGTTTGATGCTAACCACCATTCCTCAAGTCTATAAATACCGGTGCTTTTTATGTTCAAGCAAGCTTACTCCAACTGGACTTTGCCACTAAACCTTGTTGTTGCTCTGCTCTGTAATACATATTATCTACTATGTGAAGAATAGAATACAAGGCTTGATACAGTATATAAATCTCTATTTGGAGCATTCTATGTATTCTTCAAAAGCTCACAGAAAACAATTTAAATCTCCAACCTCAAGTCAAAGATTCATGGAGTTAACCAAAAACAGATCAAGTTGTCTGATCAATAACTTAAATTTTATGCATTTATCTACACCAGTCAAGACAATAATTGCATAATTGAAAAAAGGATTCATGATGTAAAGTGAAAAAAAAATTTTGACAAGCAGCTATGCATTATTGAGGACAACATCAATACTTTTTTCAAAATAATATCTGTTTTTAACACTCATTTCATTCCTGAAAACAATTGAGCAACACTGCTATGTTTAATTTTTAACACTTGTTTTTAAAAAACTACATTTTATTTACAAAATGAAAGATCCTCAAAAACAAAATAGAGCAACACTCAGGACACGACTTTTGAACCCCGACGGCCCACACTCACACACTGGCTCCAGCTCCTCCGAGGATCCCCAGGTTCATTCCATTCCTCACTCTCCCTCCCTCCCTTAGAATCATATAAACCAGGACTGAGGATCCCTACGGGGGGATCTTCCACTATACTGTACTTGATGGCAAAAGAAAGAAAAGAAGTGGAAAAAACCCCCCGTGGTTGGTTGGGAGGGATCCCTATATATATATACAAAGAGGGACGAAGAGAGGGGTTGCCAAATTGAGTGAATGCCCTCGTCCCAATACACTCGGGTTATACGCATGTGCCAAAAAAAGCGTTGCCAGGGACGCAGAAACCTTCTCCGTGACGGAAAACTTCTGCTTTTCACGCCTCTGCTGCTCTGGATAAGGCCTTTTTTCTCTCTGCCTCTCGTCTCTGGTTCTTTTCTAGTCGTCGTTTGTTTTCTTTCGTTTTATTTTTGCCCTCGTGGTTATCCTCTTGTTCCTTTTCCTTGCTTCTTCCATTTCAACCGCTTTTCGTTTGTTTCTTTATTTTTTTATGTATAGTGAAGGGCGGAATGTCTTGAACCCAGCAGGGGCTCATTTTTCAGGGTCTGGCTCTCGCACTTTTTTTTTCTCCCCCTTGGGCCGAGATTATTTTGGAATGTTTTTTTGCTGAGAGCGAAGAAAATAAAGTTGGGAGTATGGTGTGATACACTTCTGTGAGCAGTATGTATATGATATTTCCTCTGATGTGGGATCCTTTCTGCAACTTTTCCTTTTTTTTGCAGCTGCTCAAATTTCTTTTATTTTTTTATTGGCCAATTTCTGGAGCTTCAGAAGATCTGAGAGCCGCCGAAAATTTTCTCAGGGAGGTCTTCCAAAAAAAGCATTTCTGTGAAGCATCAAAAACATTACCGAGGTGATGATGATCATTTTGATCAAGAGAAACGAAAAAATTGGAAAATATTATGATATAGGATCTTTATTTGTGAAAAGACTGAAAACCAAAGCTTCTCTGGAGAATGTCATCTCAGGTTTCATGCTCTCATTTGCATACAGTTGTTGCCTGAAATAACAAACATAATGAGCACATCATTTACAATTTGATTTACTTTCCGTCTCGAACACAGCTGATGTGAAATATCAAATTATATTTTTTGTTGAATTCTGGAAAAAAATTCTTTGTGCATCCTTTCAAGCCATAGTTTTTTCTTCATTATCCCTGGAATACATTTATTTTCATATAAATGTTATATATATATGATAATTGTTATATGAATGTTATATATGCATATATTTTTTCTTGAATACATTTATTTGCATACTTGAATTTTCTCCATTTAAAAAGCATCAAAACATAATGTCAAGATTCAAAATTTGACATCATATGCACCGAACAACAAATTCTTCATGAAAGATTGGGAAACGATCTTAAATGAATTTTGTCATAAACTGTTACAAACAGTTTTTGACTATTCAAACACGATTTACAAGTTTCAATTTGGGGAAATACAGTATAAACGTTTACTATTTCGGATACAAATGAGCAAGGAAATTTGAAGGCATAATGATCAAAGAATTCATTCATCTTTTCTGATACCAGTTCAAAATTTCCCATTGCTGGAAATGAACAAACTTTTTGATGATGGGTTATAAATCTTATAATTTTATGAAAATTATTTCGTGCGTTTTCCCATTTTCCATGTGAATAATTCAGCTTAGTAGTATTGCTTTTAAAATTCAGAACCAGAAGTTCAAGAAGAATTCGCCTCAAATTGGTTAGAGATTTAAAGTACCAAAAAATAAATTACTGCAGATGCTCTTGGCGCTTGAAATGATTTCAGGCGTGTTTGACTCAATTTCTGGAAATTGCCTTTTGAATTAAATTGGGGAAAAATTGCTTAACAGAGAGAAAAAAAATTTTGGTTTCATGAAGGTCTCATTATTCATGAAAGCACTACAAGAACTTGTAGCAAACACACTGTCCTCTTCATTCTCCCTTTTCTTTCCCAGGGTTCAATCTTGAAAAACAGAGGGGGGTTCCCTGGAGAAGGTTCCCTGGGTTCTGTGTGTGCTACATGTTGTTTGCATTCAGCCCCAGCAGGAACACAGCTCTTTCCTGAGATTAGCTGCAAGGAGGGGGACGAGGACCTGATTGCACAGAAAGGCCGAGTGTGGAGGCTTAGCAGGTATTAAAGGTCTTTCTCCGAAAGTTTGAGCTGGAAACTTTCCTGCAGCAGTGGTGTCTATATATATATGTATACTTTTGCTTATATATGTGATGGAGTGAATAGGCGCAAGTAGTGGAAAAATGCTCCCCTCTGGTGGATCCTTGAGTAATTTTTTTTCAGTCTTGGTGTTCTTCAATTTTTACTCCTGTGCTGTGTATCCTTATTTTTCCAAGTGTGTATACAACCTTTAAACTTTTAAGCTCCTGTATTTGCTTTAATGTGGAGTGAATTGGGAAAGGACTCAAATATATATATATATAAATATAATTTTTGTGTGCCCAGCAAAAATTTCAGATTGCCGCCTGAGATGGCGGCTATTTTTACTCGTATCCTGGCCATTTCAGGTGGTGGTCAAATGGTTTTGGATGCAAGTAGGGATCTGTTTTCCTGACGCGGTCAGGATGGGGTAAAAAACGTTTTTAGTTGACGCTTTTGAAAGCGTCAGAGTCTGACGCTTTTAAAAGCGTTTTTAACCTAGTCAAAA